CAAGGCCCTGGTGTAGCATGGGTGGGACCCTGAAGGGTGAGGCACAAACATTGCCAGGCAGATAGAAGTGGGAAGTTTGGGGGAGGGGAGGAGGGGTGGGAAGGGAGAGAGGGGAAGAAAAGGAAGAGAGACAGAGAGAGAGAGAGACGAGAGAGAAAGAGAGAGGGAGAGGGAGAGGGAGAGGGAGAGAGGGAGAGTGGAATAGACAGGAATAGTCCAGCCTGCCCCTTGGTGGGGGGTCGGGAATGGGCAGAGCTTGTCTCTTAAAGGGACCTTTATATCTGCATACAGACTACATAGTGATGCAACAGCCATAGGACCCTGGGCTGGCTAGGATACTGCCTGAGTTCATTCTGCCAAGTGACAGGTGTGAGCATATAATGCCTGAATCCTAACACCAATGGCAGAAAGGAAAGAAGGGAGGACAGACATACACGGAGGGGCTGGGGAAATAGCTCAGTGGAGAGAGTGCTTGCCTAGAAGGCAGGAACCCCTGGGTTTGACTCCTGACATGGCACATTCTAAGGCCATCATGGGGTTCACCCAGCACTTGGAAGGCGTCCCTGCCTTTGGCGGAAGCACCAGTGCACTCTGGTCTTTCAAGAGGCTAAGAAAACTCAAAGCTGTCCTCCATTATATAGGGAGTCTGAGGCCGCATGAGTCCCTGTCAAAAGGAAGAATGAGGGGTGTGTGTGTGTGTGTGTGTGTGTGTGTGTGTGTGTGTAAACTATGCATTGCACACAGGGAGCACCTAGAACTCCTGCGGTAAGGGAAGAACCTGGCTCCCTGGCCGGACTATCAGAAGCCCTATCTTCCAAGGTCTGAGATGCTGGGCCGGTTTCCTCATTTGCACACCCCAGTCTTATCAGAAAATTCCAGAAGGTTTACCTAGCTGTAAAGCTCTTCCTTATCTTGATCTACCGCTCCTCAGAGTCCCTGGTGGAAAGGCTAAGACTTCCTGGGAGTTGGGAAATCGGCAGAGGTCAGCACCTCCCTGGGCTAATCGGAAAGACTCCTGGCTTCGAGAGAGTTTGAGTTCTGAGTTGAAAGGGAGGCAGAAAAATCTCATTTGAAATCAGGAAAAAGCCTGAGAAATAATGTCCTGGTCAAAAATGTGTGGACTTTGGGTTGGTGAGATGGCTTAGCAGGTCAAAGGTCCGCATAAACCTGGTGACCTCAGTCCCGTTCCTGGAATCTACAGTGAGGAGAGAATCAACTGCAGAAAGTTTAACACACGCACACACGCACATGCACACACACGCACGCACGCAAGCACACACAAATAAGACTGGTGAAATTGCTCTGCGATAAAGTACTTGCCATCAAACTTTCATTTGATCCTTAGAACCCACATGGTAGAGAGATCTGACACCCAAAAGTTGCCCCTGACCTCCACACATGCACAGTGCTGCATGGATGCCTGTCTCACAAATAAATAAAAATATGTAACTAAACTTTAAAAAAAAAAGCAACCATATTTTTTAAAAAAAAAATAAATTAGAAAAACACATGAACTTTGGTACTATGGTGTTCCTTCTCTTCTAATCAATGTCACAGAAGTCTGGGTGCTTCCCCTCCCGCTGTCAGGAGGACCAGAGTGCATCGCTTCTTATCCTCAAAAGTCCCTATGTACCTCGTCTTGCAGCAGATCCTTCTGCCTCTCCCAGGATGAAGGGAGTCTTTGCTTTCGATCGTTCAGCTCTTTCTGAAGTCTCCTCCCAATTTCTTCCGCATTTGCTTTCCCAGCCTCTTCTCTCTAACTTGGCCAGGCCTGAGTTTTAATGATTATCCACAGAGCAGGGCACTCTGAAAGCAGGCCCAGCTTCAGGTAAATCAATACTGGTATCAGTTTAAGTTTAAAGATAAACCAAGCATTTAGCAAAATAACCGCGTGTGTGGTTTAATAGCAGAGCCTGCTGTGTGAAAGTGTGGAGCCCGTGGTGGCACAGCTAATGACGGCAGGGACAGTACACTTCTTGCTTTTAGCTAGAAGGTATCTTTTGGGAGCCAAGTATGGTCAGGCCTGTAAACTCAGTGTTCTTGAAAGTTGAGGCAGGAGGATTGCCATGAGTTTGAGGCCGGTCCAAGTTGGTCATATGGAGTAGCGCACATCTGTGGTCCTAGCACACCCACGGCTAGACATGGTAGGTATAGACAGACAGGCCAGATGACCCTGCCTCTAGAAGACAGGAGGCAGAAGCCAACCCTGAACCTTGTCCTCTGACGTCACAACATGAATTAACATTTGTGCCCCTCCATTTCATGATGATAATACATTTCTTTTCTTTCTTTCTTTTTTTTTGTTTTTGTGATTTTTTTTTCTTTCTTCAAGACCGGGTTCCTCTGTCCTGGAACTCACTATGCAGACCAGGCTAGCCTTGAACTCAGAGGTCCACCTGCCTCTCTTCCCGAGTGCTGGGATTAAATATATGAACCACCACAGTTGGGCTAGTAGCTTGATTTTTAGTAGAGTTTAGAACAAGTTGCCTTACCCATTCCAGGAAACTAGCTCCTTTTATATGAATATAAAAATCAGTTTTATCTAATCTAATATTTAGATATTTCTATCTAGAATGTGATAATCTCTTGCTATTACATTAAGCTGGTTATAATTACACAAAGTTATTTTTTTTTTTATTAGACAGGTTCTTTTTACATAGCCCTGGCTGTCCTGGAGCTCGCCATGTAAACCAGGTTGACCTCAAACTCATAGAGATCCATCTGCCCCTGTCTCTTGAGTGCTGGGTTAAATAATAATTTCTTAGTGGGCAAGGAGTAGAGGCTATTGTATATCAGATTCCTCAGAGCTGAAACATTCCATTCCATGGAGAAGCTGTTTCTTCTTTTTCTCCTCCTCCTCCTCCTCCTCCTCTTCTTTTTCTGTTTTTTGAGATAGGGTTTCTCTGTAGCTTTTGGAGCCTGTCCTGAAACTAGCTCTGTAGACCAGGCTGGCCTTGAACTCACAGAGATCTGCCTGCCTCTGCCTCCTGAGTGCTGGGATTAAAGGTGTGTGCCACCACTTCCCGGTGTAGCGAAGCTTCTTAAGCCTTAGAAGCTCTAAAGGGAGAATTCTTAAGACTCGGGAACTAAACAACTCAGAAGGCTTACAACGTCCCTGCCACTTACCTGATCCATAAGGCTCCTCCCTCTCTGATGTTATGTTAGTAAGGACTGTGGGAAGAGAAGACTCTCCCACCTGTCAACCTGGTGAGCCTTCTGCAAGTCACGCAGGAACTTGTGAGTCATCACCCTTGCTGGGGTGGAGTGATCCACGCTCATCCATATTCCGATAAGCATCCCAACCGGCTGATTGGCTCACCAAGCTGCACTTAGGTGGTAGAGTTAGTTTGGTCTCTCACCAGTTCCTTATCTGAGTCGTAGTCCGTAGTGAGTAGCTATGTCCTCGTGCCTCTCCAGAAATAGTGTCGAATAACAGTGGCACACACCTGGACCTGTGCTCTCCGCACTTGGAAGGTTGAGGTGGGGGAATCATTCATTTGAGGCTAGCCTGTCACAAAAGAAATCAGAGCGCGTTCTTGGGACCGTATCTTGAATTCAGTTCATTTTGTGAGCATTTTTGAACTCGCTAGCTTTTCGTAGGGGATTGGCACAGAGCCTTATGTGTGCCCGGCTTTTGTTCTAACGTTGAGCCACATCCACAACCCGAGGTGTTCTGAGACACTGTGTCCTGTTGTGAGATCTCTGCACTTGGTGTGAAGATACATTGCTGTGGTTGGTTTAATGGAAACCTGAATGGTCAATAGCTAGGCAGGGGTATAGGTGGGATTTCCGGGCAGAGAGAGGAAGCAGGAGGAGATAACTGAGGCACGGAGAAGATGCTATGAGACATGGAGGGAGTCGGACAGACAGAAAGAACGGTAAAAAGACATATGGCAAAATGTAGATCAATCAAAACAGGTTAATTTAACTTAATAAAGGCTAGTAGGACAAGCCTAAGCTAAGGCTGCGCTTTCATAATTAATTAGTCAGCGTGTAGTTATTTGGGAGCAGGGAGCAGGCTGGCGGGGAGAAAGACTCGTTACAATGTACAGGCTAACTTAAACTTCATCCTTCCTCTGGGGCTCAACCTCTGGAGTTGGTTTGCATTCTCCAGCACACCAAGCATCATCGGGCATTCTTTCCTAGGTGATGGGAAGCACTATGTCCTGCACTGGCGGGCAAGTTGTCTAACTTTTTCGGTTCTTACCATGGTCAGTTTGAACCCATTATGGTCCTGGGGACATAGCTTAGTTGGCAGAGAGCTTGCTTATCCTGTGTGAGGCTCTGGGATCAGTCCCCACCACTACATCAAACCAGGCCTGGTAGCATACTCCTGCAATCCACATAGAAGGTGGAGGCAGGGCCATCAGGAGTTCAAGGTCATCCTTGGCTACAAGGAGAGCATAAGACCAACCTGGGCTTTGTGGGAAGCATATTTCAAAGAAAGAAAAACAAAATACAAAATTAGAACTACATTTCCTGAGAGGTGAGCATCTCATTGTATGACTGGTACTTTTAACCAAGGGTCTGAGGAAGATAGTTTGCAGATATGTTAGATGCTGCTGCTGGTGTAGGCTTAGTACCAGGCTTATGAGGGGTGATGCTGAGCGGGTCCCGGCACCAGGCATATGAGGGGTGATGCTGAGCAGGCCTGGCACCAGGAGCCTGAGGGGCCTGAATAGGGTGTGAAAAGTTCACTCTCCCAGTGCTATCACTTCAGCCCCTACCCTGTCTGCCGCCTCTTCAGGTTGGGGGCACTTAGTGGTTTGCTGCATAAGGATGAGACATATGGCCTTGAAAGTCAACCCCTTGGAAAGCTTTCTGTCCACACACCTTTTTTTTTTTTTAGAGTTATAAAACTTTGTTCCTTTGATTTTTATTACACAAATCGCAATAGATAATAGACACATAGTACAGATAAAACCATCATACGAAATTATTAAATTAGTTGCATATTTTTTTGTACTACTCTCGGTGAAGAAAAATAAATTTTAGCATTGGCAAGGCAGCAGAGAGTTGGTTTAGGGACTCTTGGCTTTTCTAGAATGTTGGCATGGTAATTAAGACAGCATTCGGTGTTTTTCCCTCAGCAAGACCATTGATGCCTATGTGATCTGTGGCGTGGCAGCCGTGGCTGGGGCTCTGTCCCATTCCAGAGCAGATCCCTGTACTGCTGTGCAGATGCCTTCTTCCTCATCTCATAGTTGGTGAGCCGTCCTCCCTGAATGAACTGGGCTACTTTGTTTGTAAATGTCATGCAAATTGAAGCCAGTTACGAGGCTGTACCTTGTAGGCAAATCTCAGGAGTGTCAAAGAATAGCAACAGAGGGCGAAGGTCATCTGCCCACTGATGATCTCCAGAGATTTCTTCATGTCATTGATAGCAGCAATGGGGAGACCCCAGTTGGCAACTGGGCCCCAGAAGTGCACACTCATGAGGTAGTCCTGGAAGTCCTTGCTCCGGACATAGTCGGCCGCTCTGCGCACCAGCGTCCCCGCCATGGCCCTGTAGTCCGCGGTGAAGCCCCCACACACCTTTTTTACCTTTTACCTTTTAGCAATTGTTCTAAAAAATTTACTTCAAAGCCTACATGACATCTCCCCCCATATATTTTGGCTGCGGCAGTTGCCTTTTCTTTTTCTTTCTCTGTTAGTGGGGCTTGGGGAACATGCACGGGCGAGCATGTGTGTGCCAAGTTGTGCATGTGGAGGTCAAAGACGACCTGCAGGATTAGATTTTCTTCTGGCACATTCGTGATGCCGGGTCCCTGGCATTAAACTCAGGTTGTCAAGCTTGGTGACAAGTGCCTTTGCTCACAGACCCATCTTACTGGTTCCAAATATGAATCTTTTCAAGGCAGATTTGATGTTTATAAACAAATGCATTCCATTTGTGGTCAAATGTGGGCGTAATAGAGACCAAAAGTTGGAATATAGGTCAGTGACAGGACAAGCATCTTTCTGCCAGGCAAGAGGCTCAGAGTTTGGTTCCTTCTTTCTGTTTTCTTTTTGGTTTTTCAAGACAGGTTTCTATGCATAGCCCTGGCTGTCCTGGAACTTTCTTTGTAGACTAGGCTGGCTTTGAATGCAGAGGTCTATCTGCCTCTGCCTCCCAAGTGCTGAGATTAAAAACATGAACCCCCACC